CGCCGGTTTCCCAAAGCAGACCGAGCCTGGTGCAGCTGGGGGCTAGGACCACCCACCTCTGGGTTAGCAGCTGAGCACTTGAACTGTTGTGCCACCAGGGCTCCATTTAAGACCTGCGTGCAAGGGAAAATACAGAGCAGACAACATAGGCACCTGACCTAGCAAAGGAGCTGTCCAGGAAGGCTTCTCTGAAGAGGTAGGGTTTAAACCAGGCCTGGTTACTCGGTCTGACTCTCAGTTTCCCCGCCCGTGAGACGAAGATCTGTTGTTGGCACAGAGCTGGACAAACTTCTGGTCCAGTCTTGGATGGCTTAAGCTGGTTGGAGTTTCAGACATGGTTTGGCCTGAATCTCATTTCAGAGATGAGATCTTGGTCTGGAGAGATGGAATGAATTGCCCAAGACCTCACAGCAAAGTCATTCTATTCCTGGGCCTAGAACCAAAGATTACTGAGTTCCAGTCCAGTGAGTGTTATTTTTGCTGCTTTAAAGAACATGTATTTTTTAAAGCTTACAAGTTGTACAACGTGGCATACTCCTATATGACCACAGGAACCCAGTGATCCATGAGCCTGGTTTAGAGATTAATGAGTTGAGTTTAGTAAATGATGAAGGGTATAGATTCAGCCTGCTGGACTCGGTATTTCTGGGTTGCATTTCTTATTGTACCCTCTGTTGGACAGTTCACCGGACAGCTCGGGAAACTGAGGCAGGCCTTCCTAGTGCCTACCTTGTGGTGCCATTATGAGGACTAAGTGAGTTACTGTGTATACAATGCTTAGAACTTTGCTTGGACAACGCCTGAAACTTAGTGAGTGAATACTGTTTTCTTTATGAAATTGCGGTACCAGAAGACATACATTTGTTTTACTCTTTTCTCATATAACATTCATCACTGTTCCCTTGTGGCTGTGTAGACGGACTATGTCAGGACTCTTACTTTGCCTCATCTGGTTGGATGTTTTGGATGCAGCCATTAGCTGCATCTGAATATATAGATATAGATATATATCTCCTAATGACGGTCCTCTTTGGCCATGAAAGTCCGGTCTTCTGTCTGGTTTTCTTAGAGCCCGAGGAGGGGACTTGCTATGGGCAAATGGGTTTCCTTGACAAAAGGGTGTTTATGAGGAAAATCAGTCTGTGGGGCCCAGTTGGTACAGGAAGAAGGAGCAGATCCCAACGTGGACTTGGGATTCCTTATCCACCCAGGACTTTTTGGGAACCTGCTATGGGTCAGACTGAGGCACTTGGCCTGCCATGGTGTCATTCTGTACTTGAGCTGGGTCTCATCCCCAACAGATCTCTGAAAATTGCAGAACTATGATCGTAGGTAAGAACAAGGCTTGTGGGTAGAGAGAAGGCTTCCAATTTGTAAGATGGGTAGAGCATGTCACCCCCTTCCTTGTTGTATTTTCTGTAGGATTCCAGTCTGTTAGAACTCCAAAGGCCATAGAGGTCAGATGGTGTAGTCCAATCCCAGACTGACAATCCCGAGAGGGACTAGCCAGGGATCACTTGACTAATAGCAGAACCAGAAGCCACATCCGGTGCTCTTTCTTCTGTACACAATTGCCATCTCTGCTTCTTGACTGGCTGGCTCATTCAGTCATTGACTGACATCAGATGAGAGCATGGATTTTTTTTTTTTTTAATGGCAGAGACAGTCTTGGATTCCAGTCTCAGCTTGGCCTCTGTATCACCATGGTCAAGTGACTTCACCTCTTTTAACTCTATAAACTAAAAACTAACTGCCGTCAAGTCAATTCTGACTCAGTTGGAGACAACTAGCCACTCAGGAGAATGTTGAGGATTCGTACTTCCGTAAATAGAGTCTTGGAAACCCAAAGGGGCAGTTCTACCTTGTCCTATATGGTCCCTATGAGTTTTAACTCTAAAATGGGGATAATAGTAGCACTTGACTATTTGGTTTATCATGGGGATAACCCATCACAATACATTCCGAAGGTAGCATGGTAGCTGGCAGGAGCCTTGGTAGTGTTACGGGATAAGCATTGGTCTGCTAGCCACAGGTCATTGGTTCAAACCCATCAGCCACTTCATGGGAGAAAGATTGTAAATCCCACAGAGATTTAGAGTCTTTGAAACTTTCAGGAGCATTTCTCCTCTGTTCTCGTAGGTCATTACGGCAGTGGGCTTTGGGATATGGTCTATATGCGGTAGCTACTATTAGCTCAACATACATTACTGGTTCTTTTTTCTTTGCTGGTCTCTGGACCAGGCTCTGGGGATACAGAGAGGACTTCGATAGGACCTCTGCCCTCAAGCACCTCTTGGGAAGGACCTTCCTGAGGCACCTGGGTGAGAACCCTGATGAAATGTAGGTTAGGATGAAAAACATGTCCCCAAACAAAGCTCCAGAGCAGGCTGGCTCTTCGCTGAGTTGACTTTCATGCAGGAGAGTCCCTGCTCCTCAGACCCAGTGCTGCAGGGGTGGCAGTTGTGGAAGATGCTGTCATTGTGTACAAACGCACTGTTAGGGGCAACGCCTGAGAAATAGCGAACAGCCTAACAGCCATCAGCTAACCAGATCCAGCTCTTCCTCAGGGCTGGTGAGCAACCCTCCCCATCCCCCCTTCCCTCCACAGCTCCCCACTTCAGCTCAGCACAGCGTGCTCCTTGGTGAGTGTGTACACAGGGCAGTGACAAAAGGAGTGGCCTCTAGACTCCCACCGATGGTCGGTAGGTCGGTAGGTGGGGGCTTCCTCATGGTGCTCTGTGTCCTTGGGCTCTTCACGTCCTCACTCTGAGCACCGCGGGGGGCTTTCTCCGTCAGCCATGCTCTGGGCTGCACAGTGAGTTCACCCTGACAGGTTTCTGAAGGCTGGACAGGCAAGGGTGCCTCCTCACCCCCACTCCCCTATCCATGAGAGCATGCTGGGGGTGGTCTTGGAAGCAGCGTACTTATTTGCAAGCCCCCAGAAGAGGTGACAGGCTTTGTCTGGGCGGGAAGCCAGGGGAAATGTGCTTTTTTCTTCTGGGGGGAGCTTGGTTTCCTGACTTCACAGAGCCCGTGCCTCCCTCCCTCCTGACTCCAAGATTCTCGCCTCGGCTGTGGTTTTAATTGAGCCCAAATTGTGTCAGGCCACCAATAAGGCGGGTTTGAGGCCACCAGCCCCTGCAGCCAGGCGGTCCCCAGGGGAGGGTGGAGCCAGAGGTTGGCTCTTTCCACCCCTGCCAGAGACACTGGGAAGACAGGCAGATGCAGGCACATCTGGAAATGAGCAACTGGACACCCCAGCATCCCTTTGTTTTATGGGGTGGCTTCCAGAGGGTGTTTTCCCCACGCAAAGAGAAGTGAAGGGGCCCTGCCTCATGGGCTTCCACAGCCCCCGCCCCCCTTGGGGAGGTACAAACCCCCACAAGTAGCCTCTGAGTTCCTGAGCTTCTCTGGGCCCCGCTGGGTCTCTGTTTGTGGGGTGCGTTGGATGGGTGGGCGTTCATGTGTGGGGAGGCTGTGTAAATGAGTTAGTGTGAATGTGAATGGTCGTGTGTGCCTAGAGGTGTGTGTGTGGATAGTGCCTGTGTGTGTCTGGGCAGAAGAAAAAATTCAAGTATACACACAGAGCTCTATTGCCCCCTTTGGCATTACCTGAGCGCCACGTTCGCTCGGTTCTGACTCTGTCCCCACCCCGCTTCCTTCCTGAGCGGATATTGGGATGTGGCAGATTGGGAGAGGGAATCTGTGCAAGGGGACAGCCAGGCCCACATAACCTCCTCCTAGGCCTTGCTATAATAGGGCAGCTGTTCCCACTCTGCCCACCTCCGCCCTGACACCTGAAACCCAGTGGCCCAGAACACACAGTGACTTCTCCAACGGGCGGTGGTGGCAGGACTGAGGAGAGGTGTCTCTTTTTTTTTTTCCCCTTTCCTTTCCTTTTAGTCTAACTATTTATTGACTGATTCTGACGTGTTCTTTCCATCATTTTAGTAAGACTCAGACTCAAAAGAGGTTGTGGGAAAATTCCGTTATCTGATAATTTCATTATTCCATGAAAATTTTGAAGTCTTCTCATATTTCCCAGACTTACTAACCATGGAACACTCCAGAAACTATACCAACGAGAATTTGTGGAATCGTTTCTATCGCCTGCTTAAAGGTTAAAGGTTCCCCCACCCCTCCCACACACCACACCCCCAACACCCCTGCCATGCATAAGGTTTCTCAAATCACCACAAAACCGCCGCCTCTATGAAAACACGGTGACGATTTGATTTGTGCACCTCTTCTGGAATAGCCTATCAAAATGTGTGCCCCCACATGTAATTTAAGTTTTTCAGTTGCCGTGCGTCATAGTGTGGCTTCTGCCTCACAGTGACTGTAGGGTAGCCGAGCTCCCCTGTAAGGGTTTCCTAGGCTGTAAGTTTTTTAGGATTGGGACCAGCAACGCTTTTCTCCTGCAGAGCCGCTGGCAGGGGGACTTCGAAATGCCGACCTTGCAGTGGGCAGCAACAAAGCAGCGCCGACCCGCTGTGTCACATGGGAGAAGTGAAAAGAAATCATTCACAGGAAGTTTAAGACTCTGTTATTTCATCCAGTATACTCAAGATATTATCATCTTGCCATGTATTTCTTCAATATACAACTTATTTTTGAGATTAGTCCACTAAGTCTTCAAATCCGGTGGGTTATTTTCAACGATCAATTTAGTCACAGTTGAGCGAGTTAACATACCGGGTGTGCCTAGGGACTCCCGTAGGGTAGAACACAGTCCAGCTCTAGAACCTCAGGAGAGAGATTAAAAAAAAAAAATTAAGAACAAGGCATTGCCAGTCTGACACCCACTCTGACCAAAAAGCAAGCAAGCAAGCAGACAAACACCGACCCCCCAGCCCACCCCCACCCCATCAGCATTTCATAGAAACCAGGGAGCTCTGAGTTGCAGGATCTGGGGGCTGCTCTGTCCTGCAGTCTTCTTTGCTTTCCCACCCCTGGCTGGCCTTCCTCTAACCAGCCCTTTTCCTCTTCACTCGCTGCAGGTCTGGTTTCAGAACGCCAGGGCCAAGTTCAGGCGCAACCTCTTACGGCAGGAAAACACGGGCGTGGACAAGTCGACCGACGCTGCGCTGCACACAGGGACGCCGTCGGGGCCCGCCTCGGAGCTCTCCAACGCCTCTCTCAGCCCCTCGAGCACGCCCACCACCCTCACAGACTTAACTAGCCCCACCCTGCCAACTGTGACGTCCGTCTTAACTTCTGTGCCTGGCAACCTGGAGGGTCACGAGCCTCACAGCCCCTCACAAACGACTCTGACCAACCTTTTCTAATGACTCAATCCCTCCCCCACTCCCCAAGCCCCACAATTTCTTTAAAAAAGAAATTATCTTTAGTTGAATTCCAAGTGTATTTTAAAATAGAGGCTTTGAGCAACTAACTAACCACATTTTAGGAACTCGCCTGGGAACAGAGGAAAAAAACAAAACAGAACAAACACCCCGTAGAGCAAATGAATCGTGTGTTCGGCTAACGCAGCTGGTGTGGACGGAGGAATTACTTGGAAGATCTATTTGCAACACAACATTTGTGTCACTGTACAGTTTTGTGGACTGAGCGAGGAAAAACAACAAATAATTTAAGTTGGCCAGAGCTTCTGTATTTTCAAAGACTGCCACGTGCCTTAGGAATACTGTTCTATCCCATACTTTGGATGATTTGTTCATTTCTCTCTCCCTCTTTTTCTCTCTGTATATTTATGACCAGAGCAAAAATGTCAAAAAGAACAAAAAAAGGAAAAAAATTTGTTACTTTGAATAGTCCTATAAAGGAAAAAAACGGAAAACTCAAACCCCCTCCAACGGTCGCTTTGTTGTTTTAGAATTTTAAGGTGGAAGTCTGTTCAAATATCAGAATTTGTAAAATCTAACCAGTAATAAAACCACTTATCAAAACTACTCGGTTCTGCTGGTGTTGGCTGTGAAATCCACTGGTTTAAAGGTTTTTTTTTACTGAAACTCAGGTTATATCCTGGGTGCTCCACTTATTTATCCAATGGTCATCTGGGTTCCCTTTATCTGGTGACTGGGATTACTGTCCTGAGGGAGTTCAGAATTTGTAGGCAGACAAGGGACAATTCGTTCTGTGTGCTAGTAGAGGACATGCCAACTACCACCCTCTCGTTCTCTGGGTCTCTCTAATATTTTATAACCTCACCCGAGTGAATATTTGGGATGCAGAAGTCAGAGGTCCTTATAATTGCTTGTTCTGTCTTTATCTGGACTGTCTTAGCCAATTAGAGAAGAAATCTTTCAATTTTATTTTCCATAGGGGAGGAGGACCTTCTGAAACTGGACCGCTTTTCCCATCTATGAAGTGAATTCTCTCAGCACAGCACAGCCCGAGTTCCCATTCCCTCAGTGACCTACACTGTTAATATCCCCCAGTGGGGCTGAAATGACTGAAGAGGCTCCTGTGCTAAAGGTTCAGGTAATCTCAGCCTGTCCTGGAGAGAAGGCACACCCTGACCCGAGGAAGGTTTGGAGCAGGTAGAGGTTGGAATTCCAACTGTGGAGTAGTGTGGTCTGAGGGAAGGTAAAGACCGTGGCCCTGTGCCTGGCAGGGTTGTAGTGAGGATGAAGAATGGCAGGTTGGAAGGCCCAGCAGGGGGACTTGGGATGAAGTAGGGTTCAATTCATTTTGTCCAACCACAGACAGGTGCCCCGTGAGGACTTTGCAGGTGGAGAGCAGGAATGGGTGGATCCAGGCATTGCTGAAGACCTCCAGCAGCTGTGCCTGCCCACTGAGCATAGACACCCCTGTTCTCTCACCTTGAATCCGGCTGCACAATGCACCATTAGCAGCTTCATTGAGCACTCTGCCAAAGTGCCTTCCACCTTGGAAGTCCAGAGGGAAAATCATGGCTGCCTGGCGCAGAACATAGCCAAGCAAGATTGGCAGGGCCTCAGCCCAGGGCCTCTCTCCGTGATTAAGGCCGAGACAGCGGGGAGGGAAGGAGAGAAGCAAGAATGATCTGAGAATGCTTAATACCTAAGCATTTCTGAAATGTTGCAACACACACACATATACATTCTTGTTGTGATTGCTTTTAATGCCTGACAAGTAGTAGGAGCTCGATAAGTTTCACAAACATTTCTAACATATAACGCCTATAAACTGCATACAACGTGATTCATTTCTCCCAAATGAACACACCCGTGCAGCCATCACTCAAATCAGGAGAGAGGATGTTGTCAGCACCCGGAAAGCTGCTTTGGGGCCTCTCCTTACCCACCCCTGCCAAAGCAGTATTCTGACTTGCAGAACCATAGATCAGTTCTACTAGTCTTTTGCTCAATAATATTTTTGCTGAATGGATTCATGAGACTTAGCAAGATTCGCCAGCTTGCCGGGGCTCATGCAGCTTGTCAGTGGAGAAATCAGGATTTGAATTCAGCTCTGTCTTCAGACCCCAAGCTCTCCATACAGATGTTCAACCACACACGATTGTGTGTGGGCTAAACATTCTGGTTTTTTCACCTGTCAAATGGGATAACCAGTGCTGCTCATCGTCGACAGGTATGTAAGAGGACCTGGCATGTGGACAGCCATGGGTATATCATGAGGGTAGTAACCCCCAGGGCCCAGTGGTGTCACAAGGGACCTCCTTCCATACCAGACAATACAGAATCCTTAGTAGTATTTGCTTATCAATTTTTAATAATGTGACACAGTCATAAATTGCTTAAATGCTACATCTTCAAACTCAAATTCATGAGCATCGAGTTGATTCTGACTCATAAAGTGCCTGTCTACTAAACAGGAGATCCTGGTTTCCAATCCCAGCGGGGCTGGGCCTGAGGTAATCTGTTTTAGGTGATATGAATACTAACAGCAAAATTGTTACATACAATTTTTCCGACATTGAATTGTAACAGTATTAGTTACAACATAATTAGTAACTGAGAGGAAACCTTTGGATTCTACCCCCTTCCTTTAATTACTACTTCATTCTTTTTTTTTTCAATAACTACTTCATTTCCCTCTCTTCCTTTAATTACTACTTCAAAAAAAGGTGATTGGCATAGGCTCAGGAATACGAATGACCACAATATTGTCGCTAAAGCACCAGAACAGGTGACAAACTCAGCCACTATAAAAATGTCAGCAGCAGCGAAAATAACAGCGTGCACTTGCAGCACATGCAGACGAAACCACGTGATTGAAAGCATCATTGTAATTGGGTAATAATGACAGCTCTGACTTATTAAAGGTTCAAAAAGTAGCATAAAGTTTTAGCTTTGTAAGTCTATTGATACATGTAAGCTGAGTTGACACAAAAGTCGTTATTGTTATAACTAACTGCAGGAATATTTTTACATAAGAGAATGAATTTTTGCTACAATACTGTACAAAAGTTTTATGTACAATTGTTTTGGTGTCAGGACACCCTTTGATAATGTGACCTGGTATGGTCTGTACTCCTTTGTATCCTTCTGGTGATGCCACTGCTAGGGACTTATACACCTGTCCATGAAAACACACACACACACACACACACACACACACACACACAGAATAGCCCCACAGGCTAAAGGCCTCACACCCAGACAGCATTACACAAAGGTACACATACACAGATGCTCTCAGACAGACCTAAACAGGCACAGACGCTCCCAAACATACTAGACAGACACCCAGACTGCCCCACACAGGGAGTGCTGCACATAAACCCAGACGTGCACACATGCAGACTTTTGCAGGCACCCAGACGCCCCCGCATAGCCTGGCTGTGCCCCTCGCTCAGGCCCGGACAGAGCCGAGTCTGATCCCTATCTTGTCTGTCAGCATTGCCACCCAGATGGAGCGGGCCCTGGAATGGTGCCCAGGGTGGGGGGGGGTCCCCCACCCCTACTTGGGAGTTTGTTTAGAAGCAAGGCCTGCTGTTGAGCCAGGGATGGGGGGGGAGGGTGCTGAGGAGGGGGTGCTTCTCCCCAGATTCAGAGACAGAGAGACAGTTATAGGGAGAGATTCAGGGTAAGAGAGAAGACAGAGCCAGGGAGATGAGGGGTGGAGACACAGTCAGAGATATGGAGTGGGGCATGGAGACAGAAGGGACCAAGACGGAGAGAGGTAGAGCCACTGAGAGAGAGAAATCAATAGCAAAGCTCAGAGGTAGAGAGGCCAAGATAGACAGGGAGATATAGAAAGAGAGAGAGAGGAATAGAGAGACAAAGAGTTTCAGAAACAGGCAGAGATTAGGAGGCAGTGTCAAAGAAGAGGAGTGAGATAGAGAGACACACAGAAAGAAAGAACGAGAAGAAGGGAAGATTTGGACGAAGGGTGGGGGGCGGGCAGAGCAAGAGGCAGAGGATGAACCGAGATGGGCTTTGTAGAGCTGGGTGTGAGAAGGGCAAGACAAAAGCAAAAGGCACCGAGGTGGCGATAGAGGTTCTGATGGCAGAAAGGAAGGCAGGAACTGAGGCTGGCTGAAGCTGCTGAGGTTTCTCAGCAACCTGAGGGGTGCGAGGGAGCTGGTGCTGTCCACCACTGCCACCTGCAGCTCAGGGGCACTATGCTTGTCTCTGCACACTGGCGACAGAGGGGTCTAAGCTCCATCTCTGATACCCTTTGGGCTCCAACCTGCTGGGAATAGTGAAAGCCTCTTGGTTCTAGGGACCCATGTTGAGGCTGGCGTAGGGCAGTCTGCAGGGCTGAGACCTCAGCCGTGGCTGCCCACTGAACTGCCCTACCCTGCCAAAGCGCTTTCCCCACGGAGGGCTGGGGAATCTGGGACAGCGAGGCAAGACTTCCATGTGTTTCTCTGTCCTGTAAAAGCTTCAGCAAGGTACTGAGCACTTCGAACTCCACTTTTCCAATCTGTAACGCAGGACCTTTGCAAGGTGAGGATTCAATAGGAGAATACGTACATCCTTAATTTGTGGGGATAAGCTCTGGTGGGCACAGTGGTTAAGCATTCCTGCAAGCCGAAAGGAACTCACCCGCACTCAGCAGGAGAAAGCTGTGGCAGTCTGTTTCCATAAACACGTACAGCTTTGGAAACCCTCACCCTGTGGGGCAGTTCTACTCTGTCCCAGAGGGTCGGTACAAACTGTAATCAATTTGACAGCAGTGGGCTTGGTTTGGGTTTGGGCTTTACTTGTGGTCTCACTGCTAGGGGAGCCACAGAGGAAGCGTAAGAAATTGTCTTGAGAAGCTGAGAGAGGTGATCTGTGGGAATTGTTGACTAAACAACAAGGACAACAAAACTGGCGACTGGGTTACGAAGGGAGGCAAGGTGGCCATTCCCAGGAAAGAAAGCGGCCCCTATCAAGGCAAGAAGGGATCTCGTGTGTTCAGGTGTGAAGAGAGCTTGATGGCGGGGGATGCCCTGGAGAGGTGGGTGAGCTTGAGACATGGAAGACTTTGGCCGACAACCCAAACTTCTTCCTGGGAACTACGGGCAGCGTCCTCTGACCACTCTCAGGGAGAGTGAGGCTGAGAGACGTGGTCCAGCAAGACTCCTCTGCCCAGGACTTTGTAGAGGACTCCCTGCTCCCCTTTTCTGAGGCAGGGAGCATTTGGGCAGGCCCTTCACACCTTGGCTTCCTCCTCTTCCTCTTTCTGGCCCGTGCCACTTCCTCCAACTCTTTGGGAGACACACTCACAGCCAGCCACTGATTGCGAAAGACAGCCTGGAGGTGAGGTGGGGCGGGGTGGGGGAAGAGTCCCCGGTGCTTTTCACATGCGTGGTCCCACTGGCTCCTTCCCACCACCGTCTGAGCCAGGGGTCATTCCATTCCAAGGAGAAGGAAGTGGAGAATCCCAATTGCAGTTCAATTCAACCCAGCTAGCGTTTACCAGGTCCTGCGCCCCCTCACAGGTGCCAGGGCTGGGGCACAGAGGTGAGGCAAGTCCCTGGTGGCGTCTTCAGGAAGCTGACCCAGAAACAGTCCAG